CCTTAGTTTCCTTAAAGAAAAAATAGGGCCTTCTATTAACCATAGCTTTTTTTTCTCAGCAATCCAGCAAGATCACAGAGTAGGGGATTCACATAGATTTTTTTTTTTTTTTTTTTACTAACTGGCTAGAATAGACTCTTGAAGTACTTTTGTCCCTTAGAATATATTGGTTTAGGGTTAATAGTCCTCCTTTTTCCCTCTTTTTAATATTACTATGTTAAGTTAAATATATAAAAGCATCTCTTTCTCTTTGTTACTTGGTATGTTGTCAAAGATGTGACTATTTTCCTGGTTAATATAAATATCATTTCACCACATTTTCTGAAAGGCAGACTGGTTACCCACCTAAGGTTCGTGATTCCCCTTATCTCCTCTATCCCAGCACAAACGCCTGCAGTTGGTTTGGGCTCTCTGAATTTCTAACTTACTTTTCTGGAAATCTGATAATATTTGAAGTACCAGTTAAAATCTAGCAATATAATGTTTCCTATGAATGCTCCCCCGCCAAAAATCTAATAACATTGCATAAAAAAGACAAAGTAACAATTTTCTTTCTTCGAAACCACTCAGCTATGCAATCTTGAGTTCTTTTAGACCTTTAGAAGGTATGATCAGTATGCATAGGAAAAGTCATGTCTCTTACTTAACTTTGCAAGAGTGCACTGCAAAGCATTAATGGCTGCTTTGCCTTGTTAATAAACTTCAGTCAAAATGCTCTGGGAGATAATTTGATTAAAAAAAAGAATAAAAAACACCGAAGCTGAAATATTGCTTTTATAAGCTGCAAGATCAATTCACCATGTGCTTTTTTAATCAACTGAAATATATACATTTAAACAGAAACACAGATGATTTAGCATTCCCCCATATCATGTCAGTGAGCATGATTAGTTTCTTGTAATGTTTTTCTTCTAATACTCTCTTGTGCTCTGACTTATGGGGGGAAAACTTTCCATGAAAAATGTATGCTACTTTTCCACTTTTGGCCCTGCCTGTGATTCTTCTTTGCCTTAATTACAATATAAATCAACTGCAGTAAGATTTTTTAAAAAAAAGATTTACAGGGATTACAGCTCACTTAAAGAGCTGTGAAGATTGATCTGAAGTGTTGTGTTTGTCAAGCTCTGTCTCAGCTAGTTCTAAAGTGAACCCCAGGACAACACAAGGTAGTATCCAAACGGAAGTAAATGTGGGAGGAAAAAGCTCTCCTCTCCTGTTCTCACTGAGTATGCTTAACAACTTACTTCCAGAAAACTTCAGGGCAAAAGACTTTTCAAGTAACTGTGAATTTCAAACCCATTCACTGCATTAGGAGAAACTAGCACCATAGCTACTACATTGATCCCTGAATATCCCCCATCTTGTCTCTATGTCGTTAACTCAGTGGGTTACTATTTGGAACAGGAATCTCCCTGTTTTTAATGAATTAATTTTTACCACCATCAGTAAGGATTTATTAAGGACCTATATTCAGGTCACTATACTAGTTTCTTGAAATGTTCATCAATCCTTACCTTTAGGAAGTTTCTAAGGGAAGTTCATTCATTAATGTGCACACACTAAAGTAAAACACAAACATACAATTAAGAAACAAGATGACATAGTATAATGTGCCCTTCCATCTTCTACTTCCTCAAAAGTTTTGGATTGTGCTGACTTTGGGGTTAAGTTCTGTAGCTTGGCCTCACTTTCCATGCCTCTACACACATCTGTCCTCCACCGCCCCCCATTGCTGCTCCAACAAGCTGGTGCCACTCTAGTCTAAAGGATCAAAGAGATGAAATAGCATGCCTTTTAGATTTCTTTGTATTGGGTTTCTTTGAAAGTCTTTTTTTTTAACTTGATTGCTTCATTTAAAAGCGAACCCAGTGATTCCTTCTTGATGAAATGTTGCAAGCCCCCAATAAATTATTAGGACAGCTATTTGCTAATCTGCCAGTATATCCCTTTTAAAAATGGGCTCATCTTTCCAAGCAACACTCCTGCAAAATCATATTTTCCTTTTCAATTGTTCTCTCCTTTTATTGTTTTCCTATAACAGAACGTGCCTGTTGAATAGGCAAGAGCCAAAGATTTTTACTCTCAGCTCATATGAGGATTCAGAAAGGAATGTAATCATACTTAAAAAATAAAGTATATTCTCAAATCTAGAAATTAGCTAGTAATTGAAATTATCATCACAGTGTTTTAACTGATGACCATTGAACTCTTTTCTGGCAAACGGCTCATAGAGCATTAATTGCACGTCACATTACAGATCTGCAGAGTTAAGTTCTGTCTTGCCCTTGGGGCTATGAGGTCTTAAGCAACTTGTGTCTTTCAGGGTACAAAAAAATAATAATTAAACTGTAGAAGTTCTATTTGGTCTGTGAAGTATGTGCCTCCCTGTCTTTTCAAAGGTCATTCCCTGCCCTTCAAACACACATTATTATCTACCACTTTTGTACACTGCTGAGAAGCTTCACCTCCTTCTACTTACACCCATAGTACCCGAGTACCTTTCTAAGAACACTCCAGAAAGCTATTTCTTACATACAGCAAAATTAAAGTGTTTAAAAAAAATGTTGAACCCAATTTCATT